TACCTAGTTGGGTCACAAAACGTCTGCACGAAAGCCACCAAGCTCAGAGAGCACCAAGGACCCCACAGTCCTCCTCCTCCTCCTCCTAGCACTGATGATGTTACCTAGTTGGGTCATGAAATGTCTGCAAGAAAGCCACCAAGCTCAGAGAGCACCAAGGACCCCACAGTAGTCCTCCTCCTCCCTTCTAGCACTGATGTTACCTAGTTGGGTCATGAAACGTCTGCAAGAAAGCCACCAAGCTCAGAGAGCACCAAGGACCCCACAGTCCTCCTCCTCCTCCTCCCTTCTAGCACTGATGATGTTACCTAGTTGGGTCAAGTAAACAACCAAGGTCAGGAAGCACCACGGGGGGGCTCCACAGCTCCACCCTGAGCGACAAAGACTCTCTTGCTAATTTCCCTTCCACGCTTTCCACGTTTTGCTCCGACTCTACTCTTGTCTACTACAGCCCTTCCACCCGTTGGGCCGTTGGGTGGATGGATCTCCAACGGAACTCCTCTTACCGCACTGCAGCATCACACTCCAGTAGTTCGGTCAGCTTCTGAAGCCGGTCGGGCTGGATGGATCTGCCCAGCAGGGCCTCCGTGTTAGTGTAGATGAGGAACGCCGACACAACTCCCAACAAAGTCCCCACGCCCAGAGAGCCCAGGCTGTCGTAGTAGGGGTTACCTAGAGGTAAACCAGTCACCCAATGAACATCACAAGGGGAAATTCTTCGCTTCCTCTTTTCGTGTTCTGCTAGCAGGGCGAAGGAACCTCACGTTCTTCCTAAACCACCCCACAACCATATCCAGGAGGGGGAAAAAGTGACACCAGCTTAACTTTATGCCCATTTTAAAGACCGGTGCATTTATTTATTATCAGCCCCCCCCATAACCTGTACATAAGCTGTTTCAACTTCTTCCCTCAAGACGACGCTGTAGGGCATTGCGCACCAGAACAGCCGGACACAAAGTTGGTTTTTTGCCCCCCAAATGCCATCACTCTGCTAAACACGTAATTCCCACGGCACTGTCTTAGCCCTTAGGATGCCAAACCACGTAGTAGGGCTTTAGTACTTATTATCCTTCTCATCTCTCCTATTACTTAGTAGGGTTAGGGTTAGGTCACCATGAACTCAGAGAGCAAAATGGACATTGGCCAACAAATTTGGAGTGCTTGGGTATGGTTAGGAGGGCACTGACTTTTCTAGGATGCCCTATCTCTGTTTGCTGGTAAAATACATGGGAAAGTCCCATGGGAGGAAAATTCCACTTAGGGTTAGGTCACCATGAACTCAAGAGAGCAAAATGGACATCGCCAACAAATTCGGAGTGCTTGGGTATGGTTAGGAGGGCACTGACTTTTCTAGGCTGCCCTTATCTATGTTTCCTGGTAAAATGCATGGGAAAATCCCATTGGAGGAAAATTCCACTTAGGGTTAGGTCACCATGAACTCGGAGAGCAAAATGGACATCGCCAACAAACTTGGAGTTCTTGGGTATGGTTAGGAGGGCACTGACTTTTCTAGGCTGCCCTATCTCTGTTTCCTGGTAAAATACATGGGAGAATCCCATTGGAGGAAAATTCCACTTAGGGTTAGGTCACCATGAACTCGGAGAGCAAAATGGACATCGCCAACAAACTTGGAGTTCTTGGGTATGGTTAGGAGGGCACTGACTTTTCTAGAATGCCCTATCCATGTTTCCTGGTAAAATACATGGGAGAATCCCATCGGAGGAAAATTCCACCTAGAATCTCCTATGAGTATACTTTGTTGTTCTATCTCACGATTTATGCTGATTGCTTTTATTTAGTATCCTATGATGATTTGTGCGGATTGCTTTAGTATCCTATGCCTATCACTGAGTGTGGTATCTATGATTTACGATTGTATTTTACGATTATGATTGTGATGATCCCACGTTGCTTGTGTGTACGCTGAGAGCTTCTGCACCAGAAATGAATTCCTTGTGCGGGTCCAATCACACTTGGCCAGCAAAGAATTCTATTCTATTTGTTAAGCTGTCTGAGTAGATTGAATTAAGCTGGAGGAGAATCCTCTTTGTGACGCTCGAAACGCAGGCCTGAGAATGTGCTTGGATTCACCCCTGCATATATAAATTCTGGATTTACTCATTAAAAAGGGCTGTTTACTGGGAGAAGGGAACCATGAGAGTTAATTTGGGAGATGGTAATCATCATGTTTGTAACTGCTGCAAAGAATAATAATAATAAAGTTGGAAGGGACCTTGGAGGTCATCTATTCCAACCCCCTGCTCAGGCAGGAAACCCTATACCATTTCAGACAAATGGCTGTCCAGTCTCTTCTTAGAAATCTGCAGTGTTGGAGTATTCACAACTTCTGGTGGCAAGTTGTTCCATTGATTGTTCTCACTGTCAGGAAATTTCTCCTTAGTTCTAGGTTGCTTCTCTCTTTGGTTAGTTTCCACCCGTTGCTTCTTGTCCTGCTTTCAGGTCCTTTGGAGGATAGCTTGACTCCCTCTTCTTTGGGGCAGCCCCTCAAATACTGGAAGACTGCTATCATGTCCCCCCTCGTCCTTCTCTTCGTTAAACTAGACCTACCCAATTCCAGCAACAGTTCCTTGTATGTTTCAGCCTCCAGTCCCCTAATCATCTTTGTTGCTCTTCTCTGCACTCTTTCTAGAGTCTCAACATCTTTTTTACATCGTGGTGACCAAACCTGGATGCAGTATTCCAAGTGTGGCCTTACCAAGGCCTTGTAAAGTGGTATTAATCCTTCACGTGATGTGGATTCTACGCCTCCGTTAATGCAGCCTAGCACTGTGTTGGCTTTTTTGGCAACTGCAGCACACGGCTGGCTCCTATCTAAGTGATTGTCCACTAGGACTCCAAAATTGAAGAAACCTTTTGGGAAAAGTGTACAGTAGAAATGCCACCTTTGGTTAAGTTTCCACCCATTTTTCTTCTAATTTCTTTATAACTGTAGCCTTGTTCACTTAATAATACTATTTTACATCGCTTTCTGGGCAACCAGTCAACTCTTTCCACCATTATTTTAATTTTATTACATTTTACAAGCTCACTCAATGAAAGGACACAAAAAAACCCAACCAACTTGATAGCGATCACAATAACACACTGACAAATGTCCTCCTCTCAGCTTCAATACATGAGATCAATAACCGAATCCTACCGTGATCTGATTGGCTCATTGCCAAAACAAGATGACACCTGATTGGTTCTCTAAACACTCACACTCATTGGCTACAATCAGGTGAAGGAAAGCTACCTGAGATCAATCTGAGCAAGTTGTGCTTCCTTTTTCTGGTTATTTGACTATAACTTTTCATAGAATGCAGTACAGATCATTGAACAAACTTTGTTGCATGACATTCTTGATTAAATTATCTTTCCATTGATATATAATTTTATGGGACTACTCCAAAAATGGAAAGGGGTCTTATTAGCCATCAAAAATCAAAAATACACTTTTCCCAAAAGGTTTCCACAATTTTGGCCACTACTATATTAACAATATTTTAAAAAAAATCAGTCTGGGCTCACCTGTTAAGGAGGTCAGCCCCATGCAGGTAGCAGCCAGCATCACGCCCAGAACTGCAGCCGTGTCTTCTAACAACACAACGTTTGTGCTGGGATCACAAGCCTGGATAACTGAAGGTGCAAAAGAAATTAGAGCAATTAACAGAAAAGAAGAACGTTATACTGTATTATTAATCAGTTGGTGTAAAATGGTGAGAAATAGAATATATTCAAATAGATAAGACGTGTATCCTGAACATTAGATTTTGCGATGAACTGTGATAAAAGGGAACTGGGGTTATTTAAAACTTGGAAATTATAAATACTAAATGTTAAATTTAAATATTAATGGGAAACTAAAGCTTGGAAAAAACTAATTAGGACGCTGATTGTCTATAAAGATGGAATGTTAAAATAACCAGGCTATGTAGAACCTAAAAATTATTGATAAATGTAAGAAAGTTATATTTATTTAATCGATATAATAAGAATTGTTATTAGTTTAAACATGAGACAGTAAATACTAAGGGGAAAAGAGAGGAAAAAATGTGATAGTTTGAGATTTGTACTAAAGATACTTGTATGTTATTGAATCGTCGATTAACTCAGCCGCCACGCTGCTTTTTAAATATTTAAATGTAAAATTAGAAAACCAATACAATTTTCTTTAAAAAAAAAAAGGAAAGAAATTAGAGCACCGATCCAGTTTCAGAGAGGCCGTATACCAATCAATTGATTCTCCTAAACGCCAACGCCAAGTTTATTCATGCTGGATTTTAACTGTCATAATAATAATAATAATAATAATAATAATAATAATAATAATAATAATAATAATAATAATAATAATGATGATGATGATGATGATGATAATCGTTTCCTTCTCTGCGATACAATTTCAAGAAACAGTAGAGAGAGAGAAAAGTATGGATATTACAAATTCCTGCATAATAGTAGTAGTAGTAGTAGTAGTAGTAGTAGTAGTAGTAGTAGTAATAATAATAATAATAATAATAATAATAATAATAATAATAATAATAATAATAATAATAATAATAATAAAGTTGGAAGGGACGTTGGAGGTCATCTAGTCCAGGGCTTTTCAACCTTTTCACCGACTGTACCACTTTTAGGATATGGCAATATTTGAGTACCACCTAGCAAGGTGTCAAAAACCTGATGACCCCCCAAAAAGAACAAACCCAACAAAAAAAAAAAACACAACTCTGTTCAAAGTTGCAATTGCACTGAAATGACTTATGACCATTTTTCACACTTATGACCATTGCAGCATGCCCAGGGTCATGTGATTTATATTTGGATGCTTGGCAACTGATTCATATTTATGATGGTCACACTGTCCCAGGGTCATGTGATCCCCCTTTTGACGAGCAAAAACTTGATGACCCCAGTCAAAAACTTGATGACCCCCCCCCCCAAAAAAGGAAAAAAGTGATAAAGTACAGGTAGTCTGAGGACTCTCTCACAGCAAGTCCTATACTGTGCTTTGGCTCGTTCCCTCCACCGCTACACTTGGCTAGGCTGGGCAGGGCCATGTACCACCTGCCAGGTGCCAATGTACCACTGGGGGTACCTGTACCACTGGTTGAAAAGCCCTGATCTATTGTTTGATAACATGGATGTTATTAGTTATGACAATTAACTGGATGTAATGTGAATTCTGTTTAATGGATCGAAATGACTTAAGGTTTGATTTTCTTCTGTCAGCTTAGAGAGGTTGATTAATGGATGGACTAGATACGTATAGGATAGATTCATATTTTAATTTTAATTAAGGGATATTAGTGGAAGAAGAACTAAATCAGATCTACGATCAAATCAAGGAACTAGAATATATTTGGAAGGGATACCCGAACTGATGATGTTTGTACTTGAAAGCTAATTTGATTATGGTAGTGTAAATTTCTAAAGCTTTAAAATCAGGTATGGGTTGAATAAATTTAAGCTAGAATTGGACTATTTTAAATAGATTATGTTACTTAAGGGAAAAAGAGAGGGAATATTAGATGCATTGACTGAATTATGTATATATGTTTTGTCTTTGGATGTTTGACGACCCTAACACCACGGTGTGTCTTGAGCATTTTGTTTTAAAAAACTAAAAAACCAATAAAATTTCTTCCCCCCCCCAAAAAAAGCCCTGATCTAGTCCAACCCCCTGCTCAGGCAGGAAACCCTACATATGAAAACCAACTTACCGTAGTGATAGAAGGAGAGTCCGTTCGCCCGGGCGCTCCTTCGGATTTCGTTGATAGCTACCAGGAGAGTAGCTGCAATGACATCAACACAACGATTTTCATTGAAGGGGACGGCAGGAAAAAAAGTCACAAACTCCCACCCGCCCAGATTTGGGGTCTGTGTGGGTGTGTGTGTGTTTTGTTTGTTTTTATCGTTAACAAGAATCCAGAAAAGTGACCCCTTAAAATGGGAAGGGAACCCCGAAACCGTTAAATACAGGGTTAGTCCTCAACTTGCCAGAGTTTTATTTAGTGACCGTTCGAAGTTACAACGGCACCAGAAAAATGGAGTGTTGGCTGTTCCTGCCAGCTTGGTGTCGCCTGCAAATTTGATGACATCAAGGAAGTTAACATCCTTTTTCTTACTGGCCAACAGATAATCAACCAGGATACAAACTGGGTCTNTGACTATTAAGTCGATAAGTCTTGTGGTGAAATTGACTTCCCAACGAGTCAGCTTTCTTTCTTTCTTTTTTATTAAAAGTGTTATAAAGATTACAATATTATTCCCCTCCCACCCCCAAACCCCCCTCCCCCCCACTTCCCAGAGCTATTCACAGGGTTAACAAATAATAATCATAATCTAAATAACATTAACCAACTATTAAATTACCAAATCTATAAAGCACTTTAACTCCCTTTTTAGATAAATTTAAGTAAATGAAAGTTAAACACAATAATGAACAAATAATAATATCATTGTAAGAATTAAAAATAACAGAAAAAATAAACCATTATAAAATATTAACAATAATAATACTCTAAAATTTAATACTCAAAAACCAAATGGAACTTTTTAGTCCCATATTTATTCTGAATATAATCTATCCATCTTCTCTTGATGACTGACTATTAAGTCGATAAATCTTGTGGGGAAACGGACTTCCCGACGAGTCAGCTTTCTTGAATCAGATCAACGTAGGGGATCGCTGGAATAAATTCTCATATAATCTTTTTAATGTTTCTGGTCGGTGTTTTTTTTTATTATTATTCTTCATTGACATTAACCAACAGTATTCTGACAGGTCAGAATGCTGCTATCCGTAAGGGCTTAAGCCGTGTTCAATTTGTGTAGGAAACAACTGCACACTTTGTTAAGGTTTGACGTATTTATTTATTTTCCCCCCTGCTAGGTCACCTACCTCCTTCTGACACCAGAGATCCTGCCAAAATGCAGTAAGCCTGAAAGTAACAGAGAAACAAAAACGGGAGTTAATTGTATTAGTACAATATTAAGCTGTACACCTCATACCACCAACGATCCGAATCTTGAGGCTGGATTAAATCCTTTTTGTGTATTTTTGGCATTCCGGTCAGCGAGCTTCAGACCTCTAAAGAGGAACTGTGCTCCCCGTCTTAAAATAACAATTATTTCCCCAAATACTGTAATAGAGCACCAAGGGTTTCATCGCTCTGTAGTGGCTTGATTTGGGCTGCGAATGAATGGATGAATGTGTGTGTTTATCGGTTTGTCTGTCTGTCTATCTAGTTTATCTGTCTATCTAATCTATCTACTTAGCTATCATCTATATCTATCTGTCTTATCTATCTAATCTATCTATCTAATATATCTACTTATCCATCATCTATATCTATCCTTATCTATCTATCTTATCTGTCTGTCTATCTATCTAATATATCTACTTATCCATCATCTATATCTATCCTTATCTATCTATCTTATCTGTCTGTCTATCTATCTAATAGATCTACTTATCCATCATCTATATCTATCTTAGATATCTATGTCTTATCTATCTATCTATCTATCTATCTATCTATCTATCTATCTATCTATCTATCTGTCTGTCTGTCTGTCTGTCTGTCTGTCTGTCTGTCTGTCTGTCTGTCTATCTATCTAGTCTGTCTGTCTGTCTGTCTGTCTGTCTGTCTGTCTATCTATCTATCTATCTAATATATCTACTTATCCATCATCTATATCTATCTTAGATATCTATGTCTTATCTATCTATCTATCTATCTATCTATCTATCTATCTATCTGTCTGTCTGTCTGTCTGTCTGTCTGTCTGTCTGTCTGTCTGTCTGTCTATCTACTTATCCATCATCTATATCTATCCTAGATATCTATCTTATCTATCTATCTATCTATCTATCTATCTACTTATCTATCATTGATATCTATCTTATCTATCTTATCTATCTACTTATCTATCATGTATATCTATATCTATCCATCCAGCCAGCCAGCCTGCCTGCCTATCTATATCTCTTCTATTTCTATCTATCTGTCTGTATGAAAGAGGGAGAGTGAAGAAAGAAAGAAAGAAAGAAAGAAAGGAAGGAAGGAAGGAAGGAAGGAAGAAAGAAGAATATGAAAGAGGGAGAAGGAAGGAAGGAAGGAAGAGTATGAAAGAGAGGGAAGGAAGGAAGAAAGGAAGGAAAGAAAAGAAAGAAGAGTATGAAAGAGGGAGAGGGAAGAAAGAAACAAAGAAGGAAAGAAAGAAAGAAAGAAAGAAAGAAAGAAAGAAAGAAAGAAAGAAAGAAAGAAAGAAAGAAAGAAAGAAAGAAACCAGAGAATTTCATGGCTATCGCGACGCAAATCACCCGGCTAAACCGACCTTTTGACGCAACGTACCCAGAGAAGGGATTCTATCGGCTGAGGGTTGAGTAGCCCGATAACCCCATGATACCACGAGAGGCCGGCCCCCATCATGAAGATGCCAACGCCGCTGATCAGAGATGCGATGTAGCGCATGTTTGTGAAGCCATACCTGGAAGGAAGGAGAGGGGGGGGGGAGAAAAAACACCGCTGTGACTCAGGAAGGAAAAACGGAAAGGAAATGTCGGAGAGCGGAAGGCGGCATAATTGGTTAATTGTTAGAACAATTAACCAGTGGAACCACCTGCCTCCAGAAGCGGTGAATGCTCCAACACCGGAAGTTTTTAAGAAGAGACTGGACAGCCATTTGTCCGAAATGGTATAGGGTTTCCTGCCTGAGCAGGGGGTTGGACTGGATGACCTCCAGGGTCCCTTCCAACTTTATTATTTTTAATAATAATAATAATAATAATAATAATAATAATAATAATAATAATAATAATAATAATAATAATAATAATAATTATTATTATTATTATTATTATTATTATTATTATTATTATTATTATTATTATTATTATTATTATTATTATTATTATTATTATTACTGCCATCACATTTGGAAATCCATTGGGAGTGAACAAGGGATAGACCTTAGAAGCAAATCCGGACTTGGGAAAGGCAATGATTCCTAGCAATAGCCCTCTTTAAGCGGTTTACGGATTTTCCCCCAGATAGATAGATAAGATAACTGATAGGTAGATGATAGTTAGCAATGACACTTAGACCTATATACCATTTCATAGTGATTTACAGCCCTCTCTCAGCAGGAATTCTGGGAGTTGAAGTCCACGAGTCCTAAAAGAGCCAAGGTTGCCTATACCCCCCGGTCTAGGTGGCTTAAAGCTGTCGAGATTGAGAAATTCTCGCCCGAGACGGTCTTAAAAGCACCAAGAATTGTCAACTTTACTTTCCCAAACTGCTAGTTATTTCACTGAATCTCGACTTCGGCAAAATGTCCGAAACAGGAGACCCAGTTGGGCAAATTTTTCAAGGATACGGTCTATCCAACAAAACAATTTCAGAACAAGAGGGGAGGGGGGGGAAACAAAAGATTCAAAATCCTTACGGGTGGCTTTGATCGGGTATCCTCACAGACTGACTGATCCCCAACGCGAGCAGGGCCTGTACGTGAAAAGAAATGTGGGGCAGAGACTGTCACATTTTATAGTCAGCGTCTTGAATTTCAGTTTGCTGCAAAAAAACCCCCGCAAAACAAACAAGGGTCAATTTGTCGTTTAATTTTAGAAACGTTTCACGGGAGTAAAGAAATTGCATTAATGTCTTATCCGTTTTTACAGTCGTGCAAAACTGAAAAAAAGATCAAAATCTCTCCACCACCACCCAAAAAAACCCCCCATCAAATTATCATAAAATTTGGGATATTAAGTTAGCTGCAATATCACAAGACTCTGATCTCCTAAAATTACACACTTCCTGTCACTTCCCGTCCTCCCCGTGTTTCATCAACCCATCACACCACTTCCTCCCCCCCCCCTTGAAACTCAGAGGCAAATCTCAAGACAGGATATCTGTCTTGGTCACCATGTCACAAAAAAGATGTTGAGAGTTTGGAAAAAAATTCAGAGAAGAGCAACTAAGATGATCCAAGGCCTGGAGACTAAAACATACGAAGAACGGCTGCGGGACTTGGGCTTGGCCAGTCTAAAGAAAGGAAGGACTAGGGGGGACAGGATGGCAGTCTTCCAGTATTGGAGGGGCTGCCCCAAAGAAGAGGGGTTAAACTATTCTCCAGAGCACCAGAGGGAAAGACGAGAAATAATGGATGGAAATTCATCAAGGAGAGAAGCAACCTGGAATTAAGGAGGAACTTCCTGACAGTGAGAACAATCAA